AATGTTCAACACTACTGAGTGGTTACAGAGATTGAACATATCCACTGTTGAGGATTACATAGTCATTGAAGTTCTCAAAAATTTTGAGATAATGCTAAATGAAAACAGAATACAAAATTGATGCTCTCAGCTATATAGAAATTTAAAAATAGGGAAAAAGAAAATATAAAATGTTTGAAATAATTGTGTTTGGGGGTAGAATTATTTTCCTACCTATTCTGAATTTTCCACATTTCCTTTAATAAAGATGAATTGCTTGTATGATTTAAAAAAAAAACAACTTGAGACTTTAAATAAAATAGTTTTTTCTCTCCTCTCCACTTTGGCAACCTTAAAGTGTTTTTTCCCTTGCCAGTCTCCACCCTAAACTTCACCCAAGAGTATGTGCATGCGTGGGCTCTTCTACCCCACTGCAGTAGACAGAGTGAATATAAAATATATGTATAAGTGACCATGTAAATACCAATGAAGCACACAGTATGTAAATCAGGGGGTGGGGGGCGCTGCTGACTCATAGTGGGCGGTGCCATCAGCCCAGAAATCGCACTGAGCAGTTATCACCTGGCTAACACGTGAAAGGGAAAAGGCATGCAGTGGTGGAAGGAGATTTCAACATCCTGGAAGGAGTGGAATGCCCCTGGATGGGAGGGTATGAAAGAGGGGAAAGGTAAAGATCAGCCCTGAAACTCGGGGAGAATGCTAGGGTTCTGAAATTCAGAACTGTAAGAGAACCGGTGTGGGTGGCGTCACGGATCAGAGTCCCTGGAAAACAGATTCTGAGATAGAGATTTGCAAGCATGTAATTTGTTGATGTTGGGGGCTGAATTTGTCCCCCAAAAAGATAAGTTGAAGACTTAACCCCCACACTTAAGCATGTGACCTCATTAGGAAATAGGATCTTCGCAGATGTAATTGGTTAAGATGAGATCATACTGGATTAGGGTGGGTCCTGAACCTAAGGTGGCTGGTGTCCTCAGAAGAAGAGGGCAATTTGGGCGCAGACAGGGAGAGCGCCACGTGGCCATGACAGGGGGGATGAGGAGGACGCGTCCACAGGGAACGCCAAGGATTGCTGGCAACGCCGGCAGCTAAGGAAGGAGCTTGGAAAAGATTCTCCCCTAGAGCCCTGAGGAGGGAGCAGGGGCCCTCCAGAACTGTGAGGGAAAAAACTTCTCTTGTTACATGTAAGCCACCCTGTTTGCCATACTTTTTATGGCGGCTATAGGAAACACATAGAGCTGGGGAGTGCCCTGAGGAGCTGCACAGGGGAGGGGGCGAGGGAGGCAGGACTGCCTAAGGAGGCCTTGGACTTGCATGCCAGTGCAGAAGTGGCCTCAGCCCCCAGGAACTCTAGTGTTGGGAAGACCCTGTAGAAATGCCCCCAGGGGAGGCAAAGGACCTTTGTGTCCCCAGTGTACAATTATCACTGGATCAAGGCTGACGCCAGGAAGGATTGGAACCTTGGCCGAGACAGCTTCCTTCTGCTGAGGGCAGGTTCCAGAGACGGACTCAGCTGGGAGCCATCAGCCTCCAACACTACTGGCAGCTGAGCTAGAAAGGAGAGCTGGGTGGAACCCCACAGCACCCATTACTGGCGGCCATTTTGTCTGAGCTTGGAAAGGGCATAGGGACCCAGAGACAGGGGTCAGTTTCTTTAAGGACTCTGGAGAGAGAACCGGAAGCAGGGAAGGGCAGAGTGAACAGAAAAGAAAGATGAGGCTCTGAGAGCTTGAAGAGACTTCAGGGACCTATGGTCCGACCCCACAACCCCGCATTGGACTCTCCCCACAAGCCACCCTTCTGTAGAGGACCCTTTCTCTAGAAAATGCCGTAGTTCTTCTGTATTGTCAGCTGTGATCAGCCTTCCTGTGACTCAGTTTTTCCAAACCTTCCTTTTTCACTCTGTTACTTACTTATTCTCAACAGACAAAAGATTTGCTGAGTTATTTTCTGCTGTTTGCTCTGCAGCTTATTTCGTACTACACACATTCTCTCCCAGCTCCTTTCCCAAACCACTGCTGAGACTCCGTGCTCAGGAGCACCAGGGAATGCATCTCCCTCCCTCCACCAGGCAGCTCTTCAAATATTTGAGGACACTTTTCACATCCTCCCTAAACCTTCTTTTCTCCGGGCCAAATATCCCCAGGACTGGATAAATTCTAAGTTCCTGTCCTGCTAATACAATTCAATTACACTCAGTTTACTCGATCTTATTTACACGACAGTGTTTCAAACATTTATTAAGTCACCATATATTTATGAAGCCTATATTTGGTATATACATATATAGGTTCTGGGGATACACAATAAATAAGGGAAGTCCTGCTGCCTGAATTTATCCTCTACAGGAGAAAAAGAGAAGGAAAAACCTCTCTGGTATGACCAATGCAAAGAACGGCCGTTGAGTGAAGAGCAAAAGACAAAGGACAATAAATTTGTGGAGAAATGGCAAGACAAAGGAAAAGGGGTTTGGGCTTTTGAGGCAGTAAACTGTAGGAAGATGAATATATGGGGGAAACTAATGATAGATAAGAATCATTTTAGAAGGTTTTGTAATATTGTGATTTATAATAAGAAATATATATTTGGTCTTCATCCCATTTCTGGCAGAGTCTCTAAAACCTTTGGAATTTTCTAAGTGAAGAGAGCTATAAAGGTGTCTTTTGTTGTGTTAATAAGGTGACTTTTAAAGATTTCTTGATTTATTTCACAGAGAGAGAGGGAGAGACAGATTGAGAGAGTGAGAGAGGGGGAGAAAGAGAGAGAGACAGAGAGTGGAAGGAGGGAGAGAGAGAGAGAATCTCAAGCAGACTCCCTGCTGAGCCCAGAGCCCAACACAGGGTTCCACCTCATGACCTGAGCCGAAATCACAAGTCAGACTCTTAACCCACTGAGCCACCCAGGAGCCCCAATAGGGTGACTTTTAGAGGGCATGTAAGGAGGGGGGCTGGTTGCCAGGGGAACCAACCATGTGATGTGAGGGGTGGAACTTTCAGTCCCACCCCTTGCCTCCTGGGAGAGGAGAGTGTTTAGAGAAGAACCGATCTCTAGAGATTGGTCAATCACCAATGGGCAATGATTTAATCAACCATGCCTACATAATGAAGCCTCCATAAAAATGAAGTGGATAGGAACAAGAAGAGTTTGAGTTCAGAACAGATGGAGTGGGAGAGGCAGAAGGTAAGAACTGGAATTATGAAAGACAGGACTTAGCGAGTGCAATGCTAGGAGCATACAAGGCGGAGCAGTTCTGAGTATTAGCAGCGTCCAGAACGTGGCTGAGATACTGAAGAAGATGAAACTCCTGGGAAGCAGGTAAGCCCAGGATCAGAGGGCTGCAGCTGTTGTGCGGGTTGTCTGCTTGGACACAGAAGCTGGTCAAGCTACTGAGGCTGCCCTTCCTGACAGGGCTGCTTCATGTCGCTGACTATGCCCAGCACGTTAGCCATTCCTCCCAGTTTTTGTCATCAGAACAATCTGTGAACATTCCTTCTACATTACTCTTTAAGTTGCTGATAGAAATACTAAGTAGGCCTGAGCCAAATATTTACCTTGAACATGCTTGGGGAGCTCCAAATATGCTTTTATAGTTATGAAGGATTTTGTTTTATATAGGCAGGAAGAAATATCAAGATAATGTCCTATGTATTCAGCTAACTAACCCCTCATTTCCAGTTATTTTGCCATGATGACTTGATCATAAGGACTGGCAGAGGGAGGAGGGTGAAGTATTTGTCTTGTGGTTTATTTCCTGGATTTTATCATGCATAGGAAAGCCATACCTCCTATCTATTGAGTACAGGTCCTATAAATAATAATAGACTGTACATCTCTCAATAAGCTATATACAAAATCCAAAAAGGCTCTTGGGCTTTTCTAGCAGCGGTGTTTTTTCTGTTGCACCTCGACCTGATAAACTCAAATTTCATATTCAAGTCTAGGATGCTAAGGGGGATGGGAGGGGTAAGGGAGGTAGAATGAGAGGGTGCTGCTGGGAGCCAACACACTGGGAATGCAGGGAGCCTGGAAGAATGAAGACAAGTTGAGTCAGACGAACCAGATTCTTGCATAGGCTCTGCTCTTCTTAGCTTCTGGGAAGTGGGCAGGTCACTGATCTGATTTCCTCTCTACTAAGTGGGGATCACACTAGTTTATTAGGCTTGGTTGAGTAGGTTAGCATGGGAATATAGATGAAATGATGGATGGGAAAGTGCTTTGTAAACTCTTAGCCATTAGAGATATGCATTGTGATTATCAGCAAAGACCTGCTGGGCCTGCGTTTCAAACATTCAGCAAGTCTTTGTTGCTATTAACTCTTGGCGCATCTCTATGCGTCATCCTTCCCATTAGCAAGGTCTCTGGAAGACTGAGGCTATCTGAAGAGCTGCTTGATTCTGGCTGCAGAGAAAAGCTTCTTGCCAATCCAACCTAAACCCAGGCCTATAGGCCCATCTCAGCACCAGGTAGCAGTGAAAACAATCTGAATGTACAACATCTTAATGAGTAATTTTAAATGTCCTGAAGGCTGGGGCGGGTGGCGGGGTAGGGTGGGGGGGGTGGCAGCTTGGGAGGAGAAAGGATACTTGGTCAACACACAGGAAAACACCCTCAATCCTCTCAGACAACTGTCTCCCCAAGGCCTCTCATAAAAGCAGCTGCTCCCCGAAACCTCCCTAGGCTCCTCCTCTACCTCTGTTTCCCCCTCTTACTTGCATTTTTCATTCATGTGTGGATAATAATGTGATGCTTCGCTCCTCCAGTAACCCAAGCAGCTCATCACAGCCCAGCAGCTCAGCTTTGAACATTCAGTAGAGGAAATGTGAATACTTAATTTTTTTTCCAATGACATTTAATTTTCCAGGTCACAGCTGCCTCTGCCCTGAAACTATGTATGTGTGGACTCAGAGGGGTGGCAGGAGGAGAGATAAAGGTCTTCAAGACTTCACCTCCCACTCTCCTTCAGCTCCTGGGGAGAGTGCTAACCCAGGAGAGTCGCTTACTCGGAAGCTGGAGTCCCTGGGTGGGCTGCTGGCGCCACGCTATGGCCCACTTCCTCCATCTCTCCCCCAGAATAACCACTGCTCAACAAGTTTGAGTCCCCAGGCAGGTAAGTGGCTGATAAATTGTTCAGTAAAAGGTAGCTGTTCAGATTACTAATAGCATGCCATATGCTGTGGGGTATTCAAGGGAAATATGACCCACTCATCTTGGAAAAGTTTAAAATCTAGTGGTCCAGGTGAATAGTGCTTTTTATGTTCTAATACTCAAAGAACCTTAGATTTGGACAAGACCTCGGGAAAACAAAGGTCTGTCCCCTGCCTTTCAGCAGGAAAAATATCTTTAATTTGCTTATAAAGCCCTTGAGATTCAGCCAGGTGGAGTATTTTTCTCAAGGTCATACATTTGCCTGGGATAAGAAGCAGGTGTACCCCCTAGCCTTCTGGTGCTCTGTAAGAGAACGTAAGACAATGTTCATGTACTCTCTGTTCAGAAAGTAGCATTTGCCTTCTAAAACTGTCAAGTACAAAGTTGTGAAATTGATCACCCTATTGTTTTGACTCCCCTTAAGATATTTGGGTCATCTTAAACTGAGGCCAATTAAACACCAAGACCTGTGTTTCCGAACCAGTAAGGAGCAAGGACAGAGGACAAAGTGGACACCATCTATCCTAAGGAGGATAGATATACTGTTAAGAGGGAAGGAACAAATTTTAATAAGCAATGTAACAATAATGTGACAACAAAGGAAAGATTTTGAATGCATTAACAACACTTTGTTTTTTAAAAAAATGTGGCGCGGTGGAAAAAGGAAAAAGCAGGAAGTGGCCTCAAGAAATGTTAAGTACAAAGGCATACTGATTAAGAAATGTGGGTAGTTGCATGAAATAAATATAAAAGAAGAACAAGATCAGGTATGACTCTGCTGTTATAAGAAATTACAGAACATGAAGATCCCTCCTTTTGGTCTCTCTGGCTCTCAGGCAGGTACTTTCTCTCATCACACACACACACACACACACACACACACACACAGGGTAAGTATTGTGCATGCAGCACAAACTCCCACATCAGAGCTCATAATCATCCTATTTCAAGGTTGCTACAAGTCCAGAACTTAAGACAGTTTATTTCAAGAGATTTTCAGATGTTACCGGCTCTTGCCTTTAAATTCAGTTGAAAAGTCCTTTTCTTTTCCCCTTACCTCCCTGAGATAGAGGTCTATGATAGCATTAGGAGTTCTAAGATGGTGCATAGTAGTGTTCTTGCTGTTCAATCGACCAGGAACTTAAATCTACCAGCTGGACTCCTGGTGATGAAAACCCCACCTCAGAGGTCTGCCCTTGTGGTGGCTCAGAAAAACTCAGATCAGTGTTGGCCATACTTTCCTTGACCCCCTTAGTGGCATCCTTCTTCCCACACTCTTTTCTGATCCTTCTTGTTTCCTTTTAAATGGTAGACTTTATCTTTTTAAGATTTTATTTATTTATTTGAGGGGGAAAGGGAGCACATTTGTGTGCGGAAGCGCATGTGTGAGCAGGGGGAGGGGCAGCAGGAGAGAGAGAAGAACAAGCAGACATTGTGCTGAGCCCTTGTTGGGCTCCCACGACCCTGAGATCATAACCTGAGCCAAAATCAAGAGTCGGACACCCAACTGACTGAACCATCAGGGCGCCCCTAGACTTTATTTTTGTAAACGGTTTTATGGGGGCACCTGGGTGGCTCAGTCGGTTAAGCGTCTGCCTTCGGCTCAGGTCATGATCTCAGGGTCCTGGGATGGAGCCCTGCATCGGGCTCCCTGCTCAGTGGGGAACCTGCTTCTCCCTCTCCCTCTGCCTGCCGCTACCCTGCTTGTGCTCGCTCTCTCGCGCACGTGTGCTCTCTGTCAAATGAATAAATAAAATCTTAAAAAAAAAAGTTTTATGTTTGCAGAAAAACTGAGGGAAAAGTATAGAGTTCCCGTATATGCCCTCCCCCTGGCCCCTATTTGTAACACCTTGTGTCAGTGTGGTACTTTGGTTACAGCTGATGACAAATATTGATACATTATTATCATCAAAAGTCCATAGTTTCCACTAGGGTTCACTCTTTGTGTTGTATATTCTGTGGGTTTTGACAAATGCATAATGACATATATCCAACAGTACAATACCATACAGAGTAGATTCACTGTCCTGAAAATCCTGTGTTCTACCTGTTCACAGTTCCTCCCCAAACCCTGGCAACCCCTGATCTCTTTAGTATCTCCATAACTTTGCCTTTTCCAGAATGTGACATAGTTGGAATCATACAGTATATAGACTTTTCAGATTGACATCTTTCACCTAGCAATGTACATTTAAGATTCCTCCCTGTCTTTTCATGGTCTGATAGCTCATTTCTTTTTAGTGCTGAGTAATATTCTATTATCTAGATGTCCTTCAGCTTATTTATACATTCACCTACAGAAGGATATCTTGGTTGCTTCCAAGTTTCAACAACTATGAATAAAGCTGCTATAAATATCTATGTGCAGGTTCTGTTTGTTTTTTGTTTTTTGTGGACATAACTTTTCATACCGAGAAGTGTGATTGCTGGATCATGTGGTAAGAGTATGTTTAGTTTTGTAAGAAACTGCCAAGCTGTCTTTCAAAGTGGTTGTACCATTTTGTATTCCCACTAGTAATGAATGAAAGTTCCTATTGCTTCACAGCTTTGTCAGCATTTGGTATTGTCAGTGTTTTGGATTTTAACCATTCTAACAGCTGTGCAGTGGTATCTTGTTGTTACTTTAGTTTGCAACCCCCTAATGATACATGATGTTGAGCATCTTTTCATATGCTCATTTGCCATCTATTCATCTTCTTTGGTGAGGTGTCTGTTTAGATCTTTTGCCCATTTTTTTAATTGAGTTGTTTCCTTATTGCTGAGTTTTAAGACTTCTTTGTATTTTTTGAATACCAGCCCTTTATCAAATGTGTCTTTTGCAAATATTTTCTCCTAGCCTGTGGCTTATTTTCTCCTAGCCTGTGGCTTGTCTTCTCATTCTCTAAAAAAAAAAAAAAAAAAGTCCATTTATTTTTCTAAATCAATGTGTTTTCTATATTTCCCCTCCCTGTGAAAGAGTCTTCTCTGTTCGTCTGAAAACTGAAGAAAAGGAAAGCTCTGTATCAAAATCCCCGAGGCCCTAGGAAGAAAGCCAAACAAACCCAAGAATCCCCAAACAACCTGACAATTCAAGTCCTAAAGAGAATCGACTACCAGCAGCTACAGCACTGGCCCAGGAAATAAAAGCTGCCCCAGTGTCTGCAGAGCATAGAATAAAGCATCCTGAAAAAATCTGGAGACTGGAAAGAGATTTAAATTCTCAGAGAGCTCCAAGCTCGGTGATGTGTGGGGTATTTCCCAGTCGCCATTTCTTCCTCTCATGGGGTCAGGAAACGCTGTGCCTGATGATCAGAGGGACCAGCTGTTTTTCATCAGCCCATGAACACCGCACACAAAAAGAAGTAATACATCCAGTCTAAGAGAGCTGAAAAGGAATACGGTTACATTTTACCAATAAGTCATCATTTTCCATATTGGCTCTGCTCTAGACTACATCAGACAAATTGACGGTGTTATCTAACACAGCCCAGACCACCACAAGAGGCCGTATGGGCAGGATCCCGTGCACGCACACACGCACGCATGCACAGAAGGTTCAGAAAGACCAACAAAATAACGTAAGTACTAGAGGCCCAAGAAGTGGTGATTCCAAAAGAGAGATCTGAAATACCTCCTCTCCTTCACAGGCTCACATTTGCCCTGATTACCTTGTGGAAACAGGATGAACTTGTCAAGTAGGTTTTACCCATTTGTTGGCTTTTCACGGTTGCCAAATATAAGTCCCAGGAACTGTGTTTGAGCACTCGCTCTCCTTTTTTTTTTTTTTTTTTAAGATTTATTTATTTATTAGAGAGAGAGAGCATGTGTGCAGGGGTAGGGGCAAACAGAGAGGGAGAGAGACAATCTCAAGCAGACTCCCCACTGAGTGGGGACCCCGACGTGGGACTCCATGCCAGGACCCTGAGATCATGACCTGAGCTGAAATCAGGAATGGGACACTTAACCAACTGAGTCACCCAGGCACCCTGATCACTCACTCTCTTGACTGTGTGAGCCTCTTTCTATCAGGCATAGTGGAATAAAAGAAAATAACCCCTTTTAGTCTTTATAGGAGGCACCTATAAAATCTGCTGTAATGGATCCCATCTGATTGGGCCATGGATCGGCAAGACCTAGAAGGTTCATCTAAAAGGTGAACCCACATAATTCGAAATAAAATTAAAATTATAAAGCAGATGTTGGAGAGTTAAAAATATTTTATTTCTTATGATGACTACATCATCACTTTTATATTTGTATATCAAATCATTTACCCTTTCCAAAATCTCTCTCTTTCCCTCAGCTGGGTGGAGTTTAATGATCCCAGATGAGAGGGCCCAGCTACACCCTGGGTCCCATTGGACAGCTACCCAAAACCCAAGAATGGGCCAGCCCAGTCCTGGGGTCATCAAAGAGTGCTGAAGAAGACCACATACTGACAGACATCATTAATTCTTAGCCTTTTTTTTATAGTCTGCCCTACCTTTTCTATCATAAACTAGATAAAGATATTATAGTAACATGATGTTTAGCATGGTGGTGGCTGAAAAAGGAAGAGTAGTTCAAACCCCTATAGATTTTTCTTTGCCTATTACCAAATACTTCTTCCAGGTAGCTGACAAATCTGTAAGAACAAAACCTTTGTATCTATTAATAATAAATACTCCTGAATTGTCACATGTTCTGGCTTCTTGGCCATTTAAAATTTGAAAATTTTAAAAGATATGTTTTTAGACATCTTTGGGATTGGGAAGTACTTTCTACTGGACCTTAGAAATTATAATTTCTTTTTTTCAGGCAATTTAACCTTTAAATTGCTTTTCATATTACTTTGATTTTGTTTCCCCCCCCACCCCCCTCGTCTTACCCTGTTCACAGTTCTCCTCGAGTGGACTGACAGTTTCCCGTCATGGGAGCCATGAGCCACCTGTCACTCCAGGCCTCTCAGCCAGCCCAGGTGGGAAGCAGAGTACGGCCTTCTCTTATATCTGAGAATCTTAAGCTGCAGTCCATATTAGCACAGGAGTGCGTGACTCAAAGAAAAGTAGGTATTTCCTTCCTTGGAGGTCCTTCAGAAATAATCCTCTTTCAGGACAAACAGGTTGGTTCAAGTACTGCCCTGACTAAATTCTGAGCAAAACAGGTCAGGAGACTTCTGTCTGAGGGATCCGTTTCTGGGGATGAGCCGGGGACTCATCTGATTGGAGCCAAAATGCAAGGTAACTCTCCCATCACAAATAGCCAACCCTAGGTCTTTCCCCTCAAGGGAAAACCTTTAGGCTTGTTGTTCCCAGGGTTATAGAACACGGTAAACCCTTGAACAATGTGGGGGGTAGGGGCGCCAAACCCCATGCAGTCAAAAATCCACACATAGAACTTTTGACTCCCCCCAAACTTAACTACTAATAGTCTACTGTTGACCAGAAGCCTTACTAAGAATATACACAGAATATTTTGTTAGAAATGTTATTAAAAGAAAATGTTATTAAGAAGTTCATAGAAAAAAAAGAAAGCACATTTACAGTACTGTATTTAATGAAAACAATCCATGTATAAAGTGGACCCATGCAATTCAAACCCACCTTGTTTAAGGGTCAACTGTATATTTAGGACTACCAGTAGCATTGTTGAAGAAAAAGGCAATTCTACCCACAGCTGTGGAGTAAAATAATCAGACTCAGCATAAGATGAAGGACCTCAGTCTCATTTGTACCAATTTGCTTACTAAAATTCTGATGGTCCTGACAAAGCAATTATATAGGGGAGGAGCTATTCATTACAGCTGACACTCCAATAAAGCAGCAGCAGGGGACAAATCTACCAATGTTATTGGGTAAAGAATTACAAGTTGAAGTAAAATTGTAAATAAGTGCCCCACTGCTCTTACAGAGGTTTGAATATACTAAAATTAATGTTGAGAGCCTAGCAGTGCAATTAATTTTGATATAATGCCCAACGTAGAGTGTGGGCTGACTAGCTAAACCCTAAACAGCGAAGACAGTTGGCTCAAGAACTTAGAGCCTGAGGCACCTGAAGATTGTGCCTAAAATTTATGTCCTAGCTCATCTCCCCCAAATCTTCTGGAATGTAACTGAATGAGGCAAAATTGTCCATCACACCGCTACTTAGAGGATAAAAGGACTCTTTTTCATGCTGAGAAATTTAAGGGATTGCTAAACAAATGCAGATTCCACCCTAAATGCCAAGGCTAGCTAGCCACGCAGCAAAGGTGAGACTTTGGACGTTCATTCAAGGGAAGGTTTAAATGTTTCTAGAGCAGAGATAATGTTTCAAAACAACCCCCAGTCCCCTCCCCGCCCCAAGTCATCAAAATATAATTTTGTGGAAAGCATTTCGTAATGTATACAAAGGCCAAATCACTATGTTGTACACCTGAAATGAATATAATATTGTATGTCACCTATACCTCAATTTTTTAAATGTAATTTTGTATAAAATGTAGTTTATGTATAAAATGTTGACTCAATACACATTTGTGTTTTCACAAGGATTCAGTAAGTGTTCACATATAGTTCTAAAATTCATTTCAATGGCCTTTTTTGCTGTCCCCTTGTACCTCATCAAAGCAACTGAAACCCTGTATTTAATTTTTAAAAAGCATACTAAAATGTCCAAGTTCTTAAACCCCAGAGGAGGAGAACAAGGCAAAGCTAAGCCCTTCACAAACAGTAACAGAAATGATCTCATTACGTACCACTGTCCAAACATGTCTGCTCTTCAAACAGACCAGGTAGTGAAAGATCCAGTGGAGGTGCTGGTTTCCATTTTATCTTCACCTACAGGCTTTTCTCTTAAGCTGAACTGAAGCTTATGTTCTTTACAGGGTTCACTTGTTTTAGAGGGAAAGAAAAACATTCCAAAGAAATTACCTAAAAAACTAAAAATTATGGTTTAAATAATGCTATCACTATTGGTCAGAGCCTAAAATATAAAATCAGCAACACAAAAAGACCCTTTAAGCGTTCACACTAAATTTCCCCCTAATTTTGGCTTCCCCTGCTGCACCCCTCCCTCATCTTTTAGAGCAACACAAGCAATCTCTGTTCACAGCAGTTGTTTTAGAGAAAAACAAACCCCTACACCAATTAACCCATTAGGAGCTAGTTAGTAATTTGTGTGACCCATTCAATTCAACACATTTTTTTGTGCATCTGTTAGGTGCTTGGGATATATCAGTGAGGAAAACAATAATTAAGAATCCCTAGGGACACCTGGGTGGCTCAGTCGGTTAAGCGTCTGCCTTCAGCTCAGGTCATGATCCCAGGGTCCTGGGATCGAGCCCCGCGTCGGGCTCCCTCCTCCTCAGGAAGCCTGTTTCTCCCTCTCCCACTCCCCCTGCTTGTGTTCCCTCTCTCGCTGTCAAATAAATAAATAAAATATTAAAAAAAGAAAAAAGAATCTCCGGACTTGGGGAGCTTACATTCAAATAGGAGAAGAAAAACAATAAACATAAAAAGTGAACTATGCAGTATGTTTGAAGATATAAAAGAGAATGGACAGGTAGGCATCACTGATAAGCTGAGAGCAGACATCTTGGGGGAAAAGGTTTCTGGGCTGAGGGAAGAGCCCGAGCAGATGCTGGGAGGCTGGAGCACAGCCACAGGATCTGAGGAACAGCGAACATCCAGTGTCGCTGTTGTGCGGTGAGAAGGACAGTGGTAAGAGAGAAGCTCAGAGCGGTGGAGCGAGATTATGGAAGAGCAGAATGCGCCACCCCAAAATATGCCTCTTGGGCATAAGGATTATTTTGAGTTAATTATTTTAAGAACAGCAGACACAGGAGAAGCTCTGAAAACAGAGTAAAAGCCACCCTGCTGTAAGGGGCATTCACATTTATAAAGAAGATCTCCAGGGGCGCCTGGGTGTCTCAGTCGTTAAGCGTCTGCCTTCAGCTCAGGTCATGATCCCAGGGTCCTGGGATCGAGCTCCACATCGGGCTCCCTGCTCTTCCCTGCAGGAAGCCTTCTCCCTCTCCCACGCCCCCTGCTTGTGTTCCTGCTCTCTCTCTCTCTCTCTCTCTCTCTTTCTCTCTCTGTTAAATAAATAAAATCTTAAAAAAAAAAAAAAGATCTCCATTTGTAAGCGTGGTCACCCTCTCTGTGGCAGAAAATCTAAATCACCAGAGACTTACTGATGGAGAAGTCATCACTTAATGCTGCGCAACAAACCTTACCCTTTTGTATGACCGAGCTTGTCTTGGTAACCTCCCCAGAACTGGCCTCCTCACACTCTTTTTTGGTCAGCTGAAGATGGCATTTCAACTGTAGTTCTACTCAGGTTCCTCATTTTTTCCCTTGGTGTTTCCCCTCCTTTCAAAGTTGTGTTTTTCTCTTGTAAATCTTGTGTTATAGGGCCTCAGCCAAGAACTAAGGAGGATAGAAGGGGAATTCTCTTTCCTCTCCTACATAAGGACCCCAATTTCCCCTTCTTTTTTTTAAGATGTTATTTTTAAGTAATCTCCACACACAATGTGGGACTCAAACTTACAACCCTGAAGTCAAGAGTCCCACGCTCCACTCACTGAGCCAGCCAGGCACTCCCACGCCCAACCCCCGTCCCAATTTCCCCTTCTTAAAGACTTCTTGTGGAGACGGGTTTTATCTTGGAAAGATGACACGTCTCTCAGCAGAGCCCTGTTCCCCAGAGTGCTTGTCCCATGTCTTTGAACATCAGAAGATGAGACATGGTTTAATTTTTCTAACTTGCATAAATCACCGTACAAATTTCCATTTATTGCCACCTCCTATCTTAACATTTAACTTGGAAATGCTTTCCAGTGATAGTTCTTCCTTCTTATTTGCATAAAAGATCATTTTGGAACTTCCTGCCCTCAGATGAACGTTGTAAACTTTACCTTTCTGTTGTCTACCAAACTGTTGACTCTTAAAAATGACATTTGTTTTTGATTCGGGCATAAAATTTTCTTCTCCAGCCATACATTCATCCCAATTAAGAACTTTACCAACTAAGACATTTCCTCTTTGCAAGCCCCAGTCCCTCATGCAGCCACCTTCCACTGCCACTCTCTTACTCCTCAGGCCCCTTTTCTGTCCCCTCAAAAAAGGGCAATAATCTCCCTGTTATTCAGAGGGGCGTATCCATCTGTGGCTCATTTATACCCTTTACTTACTAACTTCTTTTCCTGTTTAAGTCATTTCAAGCATCATTACCAGAGAAAAGCTGGAGATAATATTTTATAAAACACATTCACCTAAATGTGATAGAGACAATGCCATTATTTCACCAAATTTTATTTTATTTTTCTCTTACTGGGCACTACATTTTTCAGCTTACCTTGCAGTTTTATTGGGACCATATGACTCAGTACTGGCTAGTGGGGGATGGGTAAAACTGACATAAGTCACTACCAGGTCTGAACATTAAAATATATCCTGCAGTTTTATATCCTCTCTTCCCTTTTTTCAACACTCTTGGAGGCTACATCACAAAATGATAGAACTATGGATCCCAGAGTCTCCAGAAAGAAAACCCCTGATGACCAACATCTGAATCTACTTTGATTGTGCTAAGCCACAAAGCCATAGAGTTTCAAGAGCTGTTTTTATAACATAATCCAGGATATTCCATTACCATGTTCTACCTTTTCTTTTGAAGATTTTATTTATTTATTTATTTATTTATTTATTTATTTATTTATTTATTTGAAAGGTGGGGGACCATGGGCGGGGAGAGAGACAGAGGGAGAAGGAGAAGCAGACTCCCCACTGAGCAGGGAGCCTGATGCTGGACTCAATCCCAGGACCCTGTGATCATGACCTGAGCCAAAGGCAGCTGCTTAACCGACTAAGCCACCCAGGTGCCCCCATATTCCACCTTATTTCATTCTTGTTCTACTCCCCCATCTCCCAAAACAACATTTCACAGATGGAGAAACCAGGGCTCACTGAAGCCTGTGGTCTGGCTAAGCAAGCATAACTGGTAAATGAGGCAGCCAGCTCTCTGTCCTCTCCCTACCAGAAATACCCTGTTCCTGGGGCTCTCAGTATACACTTTCTGTTCTTTGTTGTGTAGGAAGTGGAAAAAACCTTTTTCCCTCCACCCTCCTTGGATCCCTGACTGGAGTCTTTTAAGTTAGACTGACAAAAGACAAATAAACAAGAGGAAAAAAAAACAGGAGTTTTTTAATATGTGCATTGTGCATACACATGGGAGCACTTAGAGAGGAGTAACTCAAAGAGGTAGTTAGAACTTGGGCTTATAGACCATCTTAGCAAAAGAACAAAGAATTTTTAGAGAAGGGGCAAGACAAAGGAAAAGGACTTTAAGTTGCTAGGGCAGCAAATCATGGGAAGGCAAACACTGAGAAACTAGTGGAAGATAAAGGCTAATTAGTACAATTTGTTATGTAGATGCCTCTGGTGCCATCTTTGGGCTAATAAGGGTCTAGAGTTGTCTCCAGTGGTTATCTTCTGTCCTTCCTGATAGAGAGGGGAGCAGGGGACACCTCTCAAATTTATGTCCTGCTTTTAGGTAATACGGGGAGGGCAGAGAGCTCTTCTCTGTATCTGCCTTTTCTCAATTGCCTTCAGCTCAAATAATTCTAATTCCAAAGTGGTACATTTTGGGGTGACATAGTCTGCTACCCTTCAGTAGTGGTCTACAATTTTTACTGGACCATTCATCAGCAATTATCCTACACTTTACCTTTTCAGAAAGGTCATATGTAATTAATCACCATAACTCTGTTTAATGTACAAGAAGAGGTAGAGATTCCCACTGGGGAGCAACAGCAGACCTTTCTGATGTTTAGTTTATACAACCAGAATAGCTACAAGTTTCATGCTTCCACCCAATAAGGCAAAACAAACAAAAAGCCATATATTAAAACAAGTACTGTAAGGAAGTACCAAAGCAGAAGTCACCAGATGCTATCAAAAGGAACTGAAGCAAATCATAATTCAGGCTTCTCCTATGCCATGTCATATGGAACCTTTATGCCATCTTGTCTATTTTGCAGCATGCTGCCATTCGTAGATAACAGTGCATCCCAAGAGACATGGGGTATATCATTTTCCATGTGTCTGTGTGTGGACATGCCCAAACTTTAGAGATAACTTTGCAAACATTCTTATAGCTAGTCTTCCCTCCCTCTGTCAGTAACATCACTGCCTACCCAGTTATCAAAGCCAGAAATCTGAGAGTCATTCCTGAGTCATCTGTTTCCTTCACCCGACAGCAAGTCCAATAATTCTTCCTCCAAAATAATCCTCATCTCTGACCTCTCCTATCCATCTTCAATGTCATCTCATCTCTTACCTGAATTAATGAGTATCTTCTTAACTTGGTCTCCCAGCTTCCACCTGAAACTTCTATTACCCCAATCTCCTCAGCAAGGTGATCTAAAAACATAAATCAGATCATTTCATCCTTTCACTTAAAATTCATAATAGTTTCTTATTGTACTTAGAATAGGATCCAAACTCTGTTCTATGGTCTCCAAGATTCTACATGACCTGTGCCTGCCCATCTCTCTAGCCTCATCTCATAGACTTGTCCCAGCTCCACTGAGAGTCCTTCTGGCAGCTCTATCTCACCTTTGCCTTGGGATTTGCTCTTGCCTCTACCTGGAATGCTTCACCCTGGCTGCCTTCATGGCTGGCTTCTTTTCATCCCTCAGGTTTATTTTTAGTTTTCATCACCCCAGGGAGGCTACCCTGATCACCTTCACGAAGTAGGTCTTTCCCCCGTTATTCTCTAGCATGTTATTCAATCTACTCAGAAACCATACCACAGTCTGCAGAAATCTTATTCATCCTGTGTTTGCTTGCCTGCCATCCCCACTAGAATGTTGTGTTCATAGAGGTAAATAATAATAGCTAATAATTTCTTTGTGCCAGGCTCTACCTTAAGTGCTTTATATAGGCACGCACTGTCTGCCAAATATCTCCCAGAAACAACACCTTTTGTTTTTTTAATACCCAAATTTCACAGAATGTATCTCTCAATACAGAGTTTGTTTTAAGCTGATGGAAAATTTCATAATTTGTATCTCCAAAAGTTCAATATGGTTTAGCAAAAACAATGAGAAGTAAAGTTTTCCAGTTACCTTCCAAATTCAAGTGGTAGAACAGCAGCAACAATCATAGACATTTTGAAAAGCGCAGGGAGTATCCACAGAGGGCGTGTAGTCTTTAGATGTTGCTGATGCTCAGAGTGACCTCAGAGTGTCATGCTCAGAGTGAGTCATGCTCTGTCACTGGCACTTGTCCTGAATGCGTTTACCAGTGCTTTCCATATTGAGCCATTGTTTTTGCTGAGAGCTGTACAATGAGTACCAGAAAAGTTCAGAAAGTTTTGAAGAGAAGGGTAGATAAGAAATTAAAGGAATAAAAATAGTAATTACAATAGAAGAGATGTTACTGTACATAAAGCAACTGTTTTAATTCTTTAGTGATAATATTTTAAACATTTTGCATCATAGTGTGACCATTGTTACTAATACATAGATGTGTTAAGGGGGGAAAAAACCTTTCTCTACGCTCTTAGGTTATGTCTTGGGAAACTGCAAAATAAAATGACAATAAATGACAAAATAAAATGACAAGTGCCAGGTGCTTGGGTGGCTCAGTTGATTGGGTGCCTACCTTCAGGTCAGGTCATGATCCCAGGCTCCTGGGATCCAGCCCCATGTTGGACTCCTTGCTCGGTGGGGAGCCTGCTTCTCCCTCTCCTCCCCACTCTTGCTCTCTCTCGCTAGCTCTGTTGCTATCTCTGTCTCTCTCTCTTTCAAATAAATAAATAAAATCTTTTTAAAATTTTTAAAAAATTAAAAACTAACAAAAGACAAATTTTTATTCATATATATGTATATATATGGGAGTTCACTGAAAAATGAGACTCAAGGGGACAGAATTTAGAGTTTATATATCATCTTAATAGGGGATGGGGAGGAACAGAGCAGCACTATTGGGAGAACAAATGACTTCTTAGAAAGAGGGGAGAAAGGACACTCATGCAAATGCCTTTTTGAAAAATAAATATGCCTTTAGAAAAATAGATGGAAGATATGACAGTCTGTGACAATGTCTATCTGGGTGTCATGCAACTTCTGACTTTTGATCTCCAAGAAGAGAATATTAGAGTTGCTCCCAGGGATGGTATTTATAACTATTGAGCTCTTTTGTAAGGCTCAGCTTTTAGGCAGTTAAGACTGCTTAGGATCTCAGATGCCATTGTTCAAAATAATTCTTATGCCAAAGTGGCATATTTTGGGGTGGCATACCCTGATCCCTTCAGTTGGTGTACTTTAGTTGTGCTTTAGGAAATTGGTTGGGATTTTGGATTGATATGTAATGTATTATATTTTTTTCCTTTTAAAATAATGTGAAATAGAACCCAGTGAGCATATTCACACAGAAAATCTAATTTTTAGATGCAGATTACTGATATATACAGAGATGCCAGTATTAACTCATTTCATACAAATGTCTATCTTATGGGGTAGGTATTTGTATTCACCTTCCCTCTTTCTGTGAGGCGTGTAAAGTTTAAGTAACAAACCCAAGATTCTAATGGGAGTAAGTAATAGAGATGGACCTGACCCAGAAATCCTGAATTCAAAATCTGTCTTCTTAACTACTATAGCGGCTAAAGGACCTCTCCCAAGGAAAGATCCACATCCATCTAGTGCCCTATATGTATCCCAGTGCTCAACAGGGCTCAGCCCATAGTAGCTGATCAATTACTTATCCCAAATTAAATAATGGGTTGAAGAAAACCAGAATTTGTTACCCCAAAATATGCCTTTTTGACATAAAAATTATTTTGTGCTGAAAGCAATTAAGAAGTAGCAAATACAGGGGCGCCTGGGTGGCTCAGTTGGTTAAGCGACTGCCTTCGGCTCAGGTCATGATCCTGGAGTCCCTGGATCGAGTCCCGCATCAGGCTCCCTGCTCAGCAGGGAGTCTGCTTCTCCCTCGGACCCTCCCCCCTCTCATGTGCTCTCTCAAATAAATAAATAAAATCTTAAAAAAAAAAAAAGTAGCAAATGCAGGAAAGGTCTCTCTGCCCTCCTCCTACCCTGCCTAAAGGCAGGATATAAATTCTCCTTCTTTGAAGACAGACTCTTATCAGGTGACACTGAAGGAATCCATAAACAAACCTTATTCCATTAGTTTCCTGCCATATATTTAGCTTCCCACAGTTTGCCACCCTTGGAAACCTAAAACCACCTCCTTTTATCCTGTCATTTCTCTACAAATTTATTGTTCTTTGTGGAAGATGCTACATAAGCCAGAGTTCTAAAGCACATCCTTGAGTTACTCTGAGTTTCTCCCATGTATAAATGAGAGGTACATGGTAATGAGCTTTTGTTTGTTTTTCTTCTGTTAATCTGCTTTTTGTTACAAAGGTCCCAAC